TTGTATTCTATATACGGTCCGTTAGAATAAGTTGATGTCAATTAAATTCTGTAATTATAGAATGGTTGACACTAGGAAAAAGAAGAGGTCTGAGGAAGTAAGTGAATACATATTCGATTCATATTCGACTTGTATTTGATTTCTCTATTAAGGAAGAATTTAGAATTTCAAATTAGAGATCAAAGATTCTAATAAAGGAGATTACGTAGTATGGAAAGAAAAAAAAAAAAATGCTGAGTCTCAAAGATGAGTGGTCATGTGAAAGAGAGGTTAGAAGTATAACGAATGATATTAAAAGGATGAGAGCTTTTTGACTTACATATAGTTAGCTTTATGTTTATCTCAAAAAGAGATGCGTGTGGAGCATTCTTCGAGAGTTTGGGGATTTGATGAAGTTCTTATTAGAACGAACCATTAGATTAGATATATATTTTTCGTACCCATGAGAGCATTGGTATTATAGCGTGATTGGCTTTATAAAGTCATCTAGGATATTTTACCATAAGGGTAGAAGAAGGATAAAGGTCAAGTTCTTGGTATTCGGGTAGGCAGACATAAGTTGCCTTTATTTATGATTAAGGGTTATGATTCAAGATTGGATAATTTCTTGCTAATCTAAGAAAGAAAATTATATGAATCAATTTTATAAGATTGATTTTAGAGGATTTTTTTTTTTTTTAAGTGAATGTTACCTTAGAATGGGGTAGACTTGAGAGTATCAAGGTGGTGTTGGAAGTTTATTTCCATTTGGGGTCATCACTGGTAAATTGACAAAGTGGTTTACTCGTTATAACATTTACATGCGGCAAAAAGGAGTCTTAAATAATATGGACAATTGAGAATAGTAGTTAATATTTACAGAGTTTATCTATACCAATAATATGACACAATTTAAGGATTTGTATGGTGATTGTGTAATTGGAGGGATAATATTTATTGTTGGGTCCTACATATATTAAATGATACAATCAAAGGGATTATTTTTGTTCGAGATTTTGTGTGTATTACCGGAGTAGGCAGAATAATTGTATTAATAGTAAACTCGCATATTAGAGTTTGGAAGTTTAAAAGTAAGTCTTTACCCAAATTGTCTCCCACAAAGGGAGTAATGTTGACTGGAAAGGAAACGAGGTTATCACCTCACTATGTAAATATTTATGTTTTATGTTTAGGTAATAGCCTATAGTTGGTAAGGATATAAATATGTATTTTGCGCCATGAGTCGTTACAAATGGTATCAGAGTCTGGCCAGTCGGAAGTGTGCCGACGGGGACATAGGGCCTCCAAAGGGGGTGGATTGTGATGACCTTGTGGGCGGGTGTGCCGTAGGCGGGTGCGAGAGACACTGTCAGGCTACCACACTGGCGAGCTACGGGTGCACAAGTCCCACATCACCTGGGTAGAGGAAAGGTAAAATGTTTATATATAAGTGTGTCATCTCCAATTAGTATGAGGCCTTTTGAGGTGAAACCCAAGAGCAAAACCGTGTGGGCTCAGGCCCAAAGCGGACAATATCATACCATGTGGTGAAGTGGGTCGTTACAAATGGTATCAGAGTTTGACCCAGTCGGAAGTGTGCCGACGAGGACGTCGGGCCTCCAAGGCGGGTGGAGTGTGATGACCCTATGGGAGGGTATGCCGTGGGCAGGTGCAAGAGACACTGTTAGGCTATCACACTGGCGAGCTACGGGTGCACAGTCCCACATCGCCTGAGTAGAGGAAAGGTGAAGTGCTTATATGTAAGTGTGTCACCTCCAATTGGTATTAGGCCTTTTGGGGTGAAACTGAAGAACAAAACCGTGCGGGCTCAGGCCTAAAGCGGACAATATCATACCATGTGGTGGAGTGGGTCATTAGATATATATATATATATATATATGGCACGTAATTTAGTCTAACTAGGAGAAGACTAGGGTTGTATGTGTATATATATATGTGTGTGTTTGTGTGTGTGTGTATAATCTTTGTTGGGTTTTTACGTGAGAATAAAAATAGATAAGGAAAAGAGGCAGTCGAGATGCGAGAAAGAGAGAGAGTGATCCAAGATAGAGGAGAAGAGAGGTCAAGCAAGGAGCAAGACGGACCAAGGATAAGGACGGCGACAACGAGGTAGGAGCCGGAGTTGCAGATCAGAATTAGGAAACTTGCGGTTTTGGCTTCATTTCGAAACCTTCAAGCAAGTTCTTTTCTATCTCTCTTCTTATAAACCATAAATTCTGCACCTTGGGTATCAAGATCATATAGATTTATTTAGCATGCTAATTCACTTAGACAAAAGGTTAAACGTATGGAACGAAACAAGTTGTATGTATATGTATATATGTATTTATATGTTTTGGTTGTGAATGTTTGAATTGAATTAAAACATATTATTACTTGATTATAATGCATAAATTAGATGCGTAATAATGGGTTAGGATATCCTATGATTAAATAGGATTGCTAGTACACGAATCGGAGGCGAAACGGATGAGTTACAAAGGCTGAATCGCTACTGTCGGAACAACACTCGAAGGTAGCGCTCGAGCACAAAATAGCACTCGAGGGTGTGCTTGAGCCATGTGATTTGCACTTGAGCACTGGAGTTGCTAATTGCATTGGAACTTTTCATAATTACTTCAAATTGATTACCAAAGGTCCCGAACACGTTCTATCACGTTCTATAGTTTCAAAAATATTATATATGATTTAATTGCTTGATATTTGTATTAAATTCACATGAATCATGATTTGATGAGAAAAGATAAAAGTAACCATGTTTAAAATCGTGGTATTTAGGTAAACATGTATTAATCAACTAATAAGTTGCGATATAAGATGTGACATGCTCTTACATGTGATATTATGAATGGAAAACATAGTAGGTTGTTTTATTTAATTTATTCATATTTATAATTTGCATGGGATGTCTATTGTTTGTTTGATTATGTATTTATTATGATGTCGATATATGGTTAAATTGGAGGCATGGATGAATTACCAAAGGCATTAAACAAATTGCCTTATTAATTGTATGAATAAAATACATACATGGAAAACATGTAAGATTTGCTCATTCATAGTATGAACAAAAACATATTTTTGGAGGCATGGATTAGTTGCCAATACATAAATATATTGTCATTTAATTTGTATTGATAAAAACATCCTTATAGAGGCATAGATGATTTGTCAAAGCATAAATAAATTGCTAAGTAAGTTAGATGGATAAATATATGTCTATGGATATTGTTTTTGTGATTTGGAGGAAATAAATACTTTTATTAGAACGAACTAGTGTTTAGAGGTTATTATGTTATGTTATAGTATGAATAAAAACATACTTGTGAAGGCATGGATGAGTTGTCAGAGTATAAAATTAATGCAATGTGATTTGTATAAATAAAATCACACAATTGAAGATATCAGAATTGGGATTAAAGGAACAAATTCCTTGATTTGATAATTTATTATTTAATGGTTAATTAACTATTTAAAATGAAATTAAGATTTAAAGGAGTTCCTCTTATAAGGCAATTCTACTTGATGATTGGTTATAAATATGGATATGATTTAATCATTATTCATAATTCTTAGCATTCTGGGAATGTATTAAATGAACTTAACCTTTTTATTTATCTATATATATATGTATCATCTTAATATTAAAATTTTAGTTAGGATGGTTTTGGTTAGAGATATTCTATTTATTAATTTTCAGAGACTTGGTAGAGGGAACTTGCTCGTAGGTCTAACCCACGCTTTATTTTTCAGGCTGTTAGAAGTTCCAATCTCGAGATTGAGGATCCGCAGTTTGGAGACTTATCTTTTATCTATTCATCTTATCTAATTATAAGCAGTGTTGTCATTTATTATTACATGTTAGGTTAATTATGTATGAATTGGTGGATTGGTAGTTTATGGGTTAGGGTCTTTGACATACAGGATTGTCGAGTTATATTTTAGAAATTTAAGTTTATTGAATTTATTTTATAAGGAAGGAATATTTAATCAATATAATTTTTTTCAGTAAATTATTTATTATTTTTATTCATCTTGTATTCTGTGCTCGTTTATTGCCAAATCATTTTTGATATTCTCGGATCTTTAGGTGTGGGTCTGACCAACCTACACGTAAAAATTCGAGGGTATCACAATAAGTGATTACTTAAAAAAATTCAAAGATTACTTAAAAAAAATTTTAAAGCATGGTTCAAAGAGGAATTTTTTTATTTTTTTTTCCAGATATATGAAATACCTGACTCTGAATGATATGAAATCACCACATGAATTAAGTAAAAAATATATATATATTTATTGGAACGGGGCGAGCATAAGGTCAATCATTTCACAACGGAGTGGGGATAGATTATTGAAATTCAACCCATTGTGGGTACGGGGCGAGGATGGATTCATAAAAAATCCAACGAGGCGGGGACGGGTTTACATAAACCCGTTCCAAACCCGCCCCGTTGCCATTCTTATTGGCATATCCCAAGGGAAGTTGCCATTTCATCGTATCCATCCCAGCTGCGACATGTGCGACCTCTGTTCCTTTTCAATGGCCTTTTGCGTCCTGAGACTCTAAAATCTCAACCTCCCACCTTAAAAAAAAATTGCCTTATTTTGATGTCGAACCAGTAGGTCCGAACCGCTAACTGGGTCCTTACCCGAACCCGAGATCACCTAAGTCAATTCCATTAAGTCCAGGGTTATTACATCATTAATACGTCAAAATTATGATCCATTAAAACTCTAGGTGACCTTCTAAAACTTGTGGTTAATTGTGCCGGAAAGAGGGGAAAAAATGAGTAACCAGCAGCCAACCAATCCACCGAAATGGAGCTTCGGTCTGCCGGAATAGCTCCTGTACTGGTCAACCAAAATGACCATTTCGGTCGGCCGGTTGTGACCAAAATGGTAATGCGAGCTGCACTTTTAGCTGAACTTCCATGAAACTTGAAACTATGCATAAGGCTTGCTATAGAACTTTTAAACTGAATGAATCATGTCCCAACACATAAGAAATCATAGAATACAGATTACAACCTTTACTTAAGTTCGTTAACAACATAATTACAAATAATTTTGCATAGTCTCTTACAAGATAACAAAGTTCATAAAATTTACATTCCACGTGTTCCATTTGCTTCCACAATTTCTACATGTGCAACATTGTACAAATTTCATCTCATCATTACAAAAGATACAAACAAAAGTTCCAATCCAGTTTAGAATTGTCGTGGGTTGTCGTCTGCCACTTCTTTCCCCGAACTTGAAAAATGTTGAAATAATGGGGTAAGCATAAGCTCAGTAGGAAGTCTCTAAGACACACTTCTTGTAACCCCGTGAATCCACGTAAAGAATAGACAAAAAGGGACGGGGTCATACCATAAGGAGTGCATGTCAACAACCATAATGACAAGTATATAACGAATGTCATCCAAACATATACACATCATATATGTTAATGGAGTGCAATGTCATGCAAATGTCGCTCCCCACATCCGAAACATTTCCGTTTCAACTTCCAAACCGTTAGTGTAATCCGACACAAGGCACCTCCAAGGTGTCATGAAAGAAGGATTGACTAACTATCCACGACGAATCGAATGCTACCTACCACAAGCACAATCCAAGACGAATTAAAACAAATATAAGCACAATCCAAGACGAATCGAATGCTACCTACCACAAGGTCCCGATTGCACTATGACATTTCCCGAACCCTTCTTTGAGATTCTACATATTAACACGCAAATACTATTATACAGGCACCGAATACGTAGGTTTGACAAGTACGATTGATCAAAGACTACAAGAAGTCTAAAAGGAATTCACCCTATCCACCATGCAATCGACGCATTCTGACTTTGACCTAAATATCAACAGAAACCAATTCAATCGGGTTGATCATTCCATCAAAGCTCTCTGGATCGAACAACACACAACTTCCAAGCTTTCAAAAATAATATAAATCTAAAACTTAAACAGTTTAGGACCAAAATAGTTTAAGAGCCACACCAAGATCAAAGGTCAAACTAAGGTTTTTACTGAAGTCCATTTACCTGATAGATAATTGTGCGATTGAGAATGCAAATATTCCACCATTATGATCTCAATTTTTTGTCTGCCATGTCTTCAAAAAAATGTCCATAAACAACTCAACTCTCTTTGATACATTACAACTCAGGTTTTGGGTAAGATATGCAAATGACTCAATATCCTAAAAAAAACTTACAGAAACATCGATCATTTCCCGCAGTCTAACCAGGTAAAGATTCTCTTAGCTCTTCCAATAGACCGCTCTCAAAATCAACTACAAATAAAGCAAAATAACAAGCATTTGTAAGCACCAAAGAGAGAGGTCAGGCAAAAAAAAAAAACATAGAATTCGATACCATCTTCTGTTTTCAACTAATCACAGGATGTACAGTCCAAAGGCAAAGAAGAAGTCTAGCTCGCAAAAGGCTCTTTAACTTTCACCAAGCCAATCTTCAAGTGACAGCAAACAAGCAAAAAGGCAACGGAGAACCAGCATAACAAACTTATTCACACATGTTAAAAAAACACACAAAGAATAAAAAGAAAGCTGTGGATACAGGATTTGAACCCATGATGTCAAGGTTGCCAAACAGCTCTGCCACACGCTGAAGACAAGAACTGAGAACTAATAGATAAACAAGGATTTAATATGCTCCCCCACTATATCTGAACAAATAGAATAAGAAGCCATTTGTAATGAATTGTAAAGGAATAGCAATCCTCACCTTATATTCAGTGTAAGAAAGATCAATGTATTTTCAGAACAAATTGTGGAAAAGAGATTCAGTGTAAGAAAGATCAATGTATTTTCAGAACAAATTGTGGAAAAGAGAAATATAGATGAAGGAAGAATAAACACAGCGGTAAAAATTGGGAGGATGATGAAATAATACCAAATACAAGGACAATCCAAGACGAATCGAAATCTACCTACCACAAGGTACCAATTGCACCATGACATTTCCCGGCCTTCTATGAGATTCTACATAAAAAGACGCCAATACTATTATACAGGCACCGAATACGTAGGTTTGACAAGTACGATTGATCCGAAGCCTAAGAGAAGTCTAAAAGGAATTCACCCTCCTATCCACCGTGCAATCAACACATTCTAACTTTGACCAAAATATCAACAGAAACAAATTCAATCTGTTGATCATTCGATCAAAGCTCTGGATCGAACAACACATAACTTCCAAGCTTTCGAAAATAATATAAATCTAAAACTTTAAGTTTAAGACCAAAATAGTTCAAGAGCCAAACCAATATCAAAGGTCAAACTAAGGCTTTTACTGAAGTCCATTTACCTGATACATAATTGTGCGATTGAGAATGCAAATATTCCACCATTATGATCTCAATTTTTTGTCTGCCATGTCTTCAAAAAAAATGTCCATAAACAACTCAAAGCACTTTGATACATTACAACTCAGGTTTTGAGTAAGGTATGCAAATGACTTAATATGCTAAAACAAACTTACAGAAACATCGATCACTTCCTGCAGTCTAACCAGGTAAAGGTTCTCTTAAGCTCTTCCAATAGACCGCTCTCAAAATTAACTACAAATAATGCAAAATAACAAGCATTTATAAACACCAAAGAGAGAGGTCAAGCGAAAAAAAAAAAAGAACAAAAAACAAAAACAAAGAATTAGATACTATTTTCTGTTTTCAACTAATCACAGGATGGACAGTCCAAAGACAAGGAAGAAGTCTAGCCACACAAAAGACTCTTTTAACTTTCACCAAGCCAAACTTCAAGTGACTGCAAACAAGCAAAAAAGTAACGGAAAACCAGCATAACAAACTTATTCACACACGTTAAAAATAAATAAAAAATAAAAAACCAAGAATAAAAATAAAGCTACGGAGACGGGATTTGAACCCATGACGTCAAGGTTAGGAGCCTTGTGAGCTACCAAACTGCTCTGCCCCACGCTGAAGACAAGAACCGAGAACTAATAGACAAACAAGGATTTAATATGCTCCCCCACTATATCAAATAGCAATCCTCACCTAATATTCAGTGTAAGAAAGATCCATGAATTTTAAGAACAAATGGTGGAAAAGAGAAATATAGATGAAGGAAGAATAAACACAGCGGCAAAAATTGGGATGATGGTGAAATAATACAAAATATAAGCACAAATAGATTAACCCATTTATAATGAATTGTAAGGGAATAGTAATCCTCACCTAATATTTCAAGCAAGAAAGATCCTCAAATTTTCTGAACAAATAGTGGAAAAGAGAAATATAGATGAAGGAAGAATAACATGGCGGTAAAAATTGGGAAGAAGGTGAAATAATACCAAATATACTGTTACACAACTTTCAAAACCTAAATAAGCACAAACCATGACGAATCGAATGCTGCCTACCACAAGGTCCAGACTGCACTATGACACATATCGAGCATTACTGGCATTCATTGAGATCCTACATAAAAACACCCACTACTATTATACAGGTACCTAATACGTAGGTCTGATAAGCACGATTGATCGAAGCTTACCAGAAGTCACGCAGGCATTCCATCTATCAACCATGCAATCAATGAATTCTAACTCTGAACTAAATATTACCTGAAACCAATTGAATCTGTTAATCATTCAATCAAAGCTATCTTTTTCATTTGAAGCATAATTTGCAAGCTATCAAAAAAAAATTCTATAAGTTTTGAATCAAAACAGTTTATGAGCCAAACCAAGATCAAAGGTCAAACTAAGTTATTTACTTAAGTCCATTTACCTGATACCTAATTGTGCGATTGAGGATGCAAATATTCCACAATGATCTTCTCCTTTTTTGTCCGTCATATCTTCAAAAAAAATGTCCATAAACTCAACGCACTTTGATACATTACAACTCAGGTTTTGGGTAAGATATGCCAATGACTCAATATCGTAGTACAAACTTACAGAAACATTTGATCATTTCCTGCAGTTTAACCAGGCAAAGTTTCTCTTACCTTTTCCAAAAGACCGCTCTCAAAATCAACTAAAAACAACCAAAATAACAAGTGTCCGTAAACACCAAAACGAGAGGCCAAGCAAAATCCAAGCCGACAGAACAAATAACAAAAACAGAGAATTAGATACTCTTTTGATTTCAACTAATCACAGGATGTACATTCCAAGAACATGTAAGAAGTCCAGCCACAAAAAAGGTTCTTTAGCTTTCACTATGTCCATATTCAAGTGACTGCAAGCAAACAGAAAAGTAACGAGCAACAAGCAAAAGAAACGCATTCATATATGGTAAAAAAAAAATATTAAAAAACCAAGCATAAAAATTATGCATCGGAGACCGGATTTGAACCCATGACCTCAAGGTTATGAGCCTTGCGAGCTACCAAACTGCTCTGCCCCGCGTTAAAGACGAACTGAGAACTAAAAGATAAAAAAGGATTTAATGCACCTCTCCACTATATCTGTACAAATAGAATAACCCATTTATAATGAATTGCAAAGGAATTCTAATCCTCACCTATATTTCAAGTAAGAAAGATCCGCAAATTTCCTGAACAAATGGCGGATGGAAAATAGAAATATTGATGAAGGAAGATTAAACACAGCAGTAAAAATTGGAAAGATGGTGAAATAATACCAAATATACTACACAACTATCTAAACGTAAATTAGTACAAACCAAGACCAATCGAATGCCTGCCAGCCACAAGCTCTCTGGATCAATCAAAGAATAATTTCCAAGCTTTTGAAAAAAATCTAAAACTTAAAAAGTTTAGAATCAAAACAGTTTATGAGCCAAACAAAGATCAAAGGTCAAACTAAGGTATTAACTAAAGTCCATTTACCTGATACCTAATTGTGCGATTGAGGATGCAAATATTCCACATAATCATATCATTTTTTGTCTGCCATTTCTTCAAAAAATGTCCGTAAACAACTCGAGGCACTTTAATAAATTAAAACTCGGGTATTGGGTAAGATATGCCAATGACTCAATATTCGAATACAAACTTACAGAAACATTGATCATTTCCTGCAGTCTAACCAAAAGGTTCTCTCAGCTCTTCCAAAAGACCACTCTCAAAATCAACTATAAACAAGCAAAATAACAAGTGTCTGTAAAAACACCAAAAAGAGAGGTCATGCAAAATCAAAGAACTAAAAACAAAAACAGAGAATGAGATACTCTTCTGTTTTCAACTAATCACAGATGTACAGTCCAATAACAAGTAAGAAGTCCAGCCATGTAAAAGGTTCTGTAACGTTCACGAAGTCCATCTTCAAGTGACTGCAAACAAGCAAAAAAGAACGAGCAACCAGCAAAAGAAACTCATTCATACATGCTAAAACGTAAATATATGATACCCTAAATTTGCGAGTAGCAGATATAAAAATCATTGGTAAGGAAGATAATACAAAAAAAAAGAAGAGAGAATTGGAAGTGAAGTGTAAGGTAGGTAATATAAAAACACAAGATACCAAGGTTTTGCGTACATCCATCAACACTGAATAATTTTGCTTAGAAAGAAGCTGGAAAGGAAAGAACATATAGCTTGTAGGTGGAGAAAGAGTCAAATAATAAACCTCTCTAATGTGTTCCTACATCCTGTATCGTTACAATCTACAAAGACACAAAAGAAATTACCAAATTAGAAACAATTCAGTATATGCATGTTTCTGCAGTAACCTAAAACCACAGTTGAACATAAAGCTGAAAACGAAATGCAACATAAGAGAATCTCAAAACACCGATGACGAAAAAGCTGATCTGATTAAAAAAAAAAAAAAAACTCACATGGCCCAACTCAACAAAGGTTTTCCCAAAATAGCACAAATGTAAGCCAGAGGTAACAAGTAAACAGTTGCTGCAGCAGGTTGCAGGTAGCTGCTGCATCTCACCATATCAAAAGCAGAGGGATCTCTACGTATCAGAAGGGATCAACTGATGTCCAATCAGTCTCATCCAAGGAGAAGCACTGCATTCCTGAACAGCATCTTTAGTTAATCCTAAAGAGAGCTCAAAGTTGACAGTTAAAACCTAATGCATCATTACTAACAGTATATAGAATTATTGAACCATCCAGAACTGTCCTGGAACCCCTACAAGATGTAGTTACAAGCAACAGTAATAGCTATATCCAAAAAAGAATATATGTTCACAAACAACTCCAGGCACTTTGACACATTGCAATTCAGGTTTTGGGTAAAATATGCCACTCACTCAATATCCTAACACAAACTATCAAGCAGAAGGTTCTATAACAACAACAGCTATATATCATTCTCGCCATGCTTATAACAATTAAAGAGCAAAAGATTGATCATTTCCTGCAGTACAACCAGGTAGAGATTCTCTTAGCTCTTCCAAAAGACCGTACTTGAAATCATTCTTAAGGTCAGATCGAAGAAAAGCGACTACAAACAAGTAAAATAGCAAGTGTATGTAAGCACCAAAAAGATAGTTCCAGCAAAAATCAAGAAGAACAAAAAACTAAAACTGCAAATTAGATTCTCTCTTTTATTCTCAACTAATCGCAGGATACATTCCAACAAAACAAGTAAGAAGTCCAGCTATTTAAAAGGCTCTTTAACTTTCACCAAGTCCATCTTCAAGTAATAGACTGCAAACAAGCAAAAAAGTATTGACCAACCAGCAAAAGGAACTCATTCACACTGGCGAAAAAACAAAAACCAAGCATAAAAAGAATTTTGCCGATACAGGATTTGAAACCGTGACCTCAAGGTTATGAGCCTTGCGAGCTACCAAACTGCTGTGTCCTGCACTGAAGAGAAACTGAGAACTAATAGACAAACGAGGATTTAATCAATGATGGGATTTGAGTGCCTCTTATGTATTTTTGTGCATTGTATTTTGTGTGGCAAGCAACTGCGTGCATGTGTGTCCCGTGGGAGGAGGAGGATGAGGGCCCGGGGGAGTCCATCGATGAAAAATATTTGATAAATGTTTACAGAATTAGGAGTTCAAGTTTTTCTCATATAGCCAATGTTCTTAATGTATCTCTCTTTGGAGACAAAAGTACACCAAAGAACTAGAAGTAGAAGACTAGGTAAAGGAAAAGTTATTGTGATGTTAGTCATGGAGTTAAATTCAATAGCTGACTTATGATGCTACTATTCGCTGCAGCTATGTTATTCTAGAAGTTACAAAAAATAGAAAACAAGGTCGAAATATGTTCAATGTACTATTGTTGAAACAAATTTTAAGAAATCGAGTTAATACAGTCAACTTACTTGCAGAGAACAATTGGTATTTAATCCAATTAAAATCTTGCGAAATGGAGGAAAGAGGGTTCTAAATCATAAAGGATCTCGGGATGCGGAGGAATTCTTGCTAATTTGAAGAAACAGAATCTATGTTGACAATTCATGATTGGTGTTTATGCTTTTTTATTGTCCTTGTGTCTATTAAAATCGCATTTTCTAGTTGTTTCCTGGAGTTACCACATCTCAAGAATCTAAGAATCTAAGATGAAAATCAGCTCTGAAATTCTATTGCAACTTCAGAAAACTCTTTTTTTGATGGGCTGTGTAGGGAGAATTGGGTGTTAATATTGAGCTTTTATTGATTATTTCGGAATACATAGACTGATGGACTTTCATCCAGTGCAAATAAGTCAATTTGCAGATAAGTAGGTAATTTAATCAGCAACGCACAACCTACAAAAACCTAGGAACGAAGGATTTAAAAAAGGTGACTTCGTGTAAGATTAAAGACATATAATCACTTGATAAAATTAGGGGGGTGCCTCCTAGGTATTTGCATGCATTGCATTTTGTGTGTTGTTCTGAGATCATCCAAAATAAGTATCTTTCCAACAAATCCCTACTTGTATGGTCCTAACCCTAATTGTATGGTGAATTAGGTTGCTAGAAATTAAATATATAAGTGGAGTGTGAAACAGATAGAGAGTATCTATGGATTATCAATCATATATTTAATTCAACAAAAAGTTCCAAACCAGTAAAGAACAAAATCTTGAGAAAAACACAGAAAATCTTCGTCTAAAAAGTAAACACCACCCAATCACCAATAAATCATTCACCACGAGAGAATTCCAATATGGCATGTTATTTTCTTCCAAATAAAAGAGAAACAGTTTTTTCTGAAACTTCAAATTAATATTGTAGGAATTCCCATGAATGTAAAATAATGGATAATCATACCTCGAAATTTTTAAAGATCAAATTATTTGTAATTATAATAATTAAATATTTAATTCAACAAAAAAGTTTCAAACCAGCGAAGAACATAGTTCGGAGAAAAACACAAAAAAAATCTGTGTCTTGCTTAAGACCTCATTCAACACAGCAGAATTCCAAGAAATATGGCATCAAAACATTGATATAACCATGCAATCGTAAAAGCTGCAAATTATTTTCTACCGAAACAAATAAACCTAATATCTCTATAAGAACTCACAAAAGAGGATCGATTCGACCAGAAACCCAAGACCTAAACGAGTCGCTAATGGCAATCTGACGTTTCCGACAGAATTTATAGAGAGCGATGGTGGTTTTCAAGGGCTAGGATTAAGCGGTGGATTTTAATCTAACGATGACAAATTTCCCTATATAATATTGGAGTATACAATACGCGTTTATTATAGGCGGTGGAAAATAAACCACGTGTAATATATAAATTATAAGTATTCCTTAATACAGTATATTACTCCGTATATATATATATATATATATATATGTGAACAGGTCTACGCGCCATCACCGTTTGACCGTTTGTCGACATCCCCGTTTGACCATTTGTCGATAACCGTGTTCCAGGCTTCCAGCCTTAATCAAAAGTAAAGTGAATAATAATAATAATAATATCCTCTCTCCCGTTGGATAAAGTGAATAATAATAATATTAATAATAATAATAATGTTATAAATAAATACTTAAAAATAAAAAATATTAATTTCAGATTTTAAGAGTATATATTAAGGGCATTTTAAAGTTTATATAATTAAAATTTAAAAAAAAAATAGATTGTGTATATGTATTACTAGTATTAGGGGGCAATTTGTACATATTTTTAAATATTATAAATTTATATATAAATTCTAAATAGGACGAGTGTTTTTTGTGTTTTTTTATTTTTTTTTTTTTTGTTTTTTTTTTTTGCACTGTACCCCTCTTCAGTTATTTCTCTTCACAGGCATTTCCAAAAACAATAAATAAATAAATATATATATATATATATATTTTTTTTTTTTTATTATATTTTTAGAATTAAACAAAAGGATTTTTTTAATTTAGGTGTTTAATCCTTCAAGAAACAGATATAGAATAATAGAAAACAATTGTTTATGCTTCTGTCATTTTTCGCTCTATGGTATATTTTCCAAATATAAAATAAATTTAATATTAGAAAACCCTTTAAAATTTTGCAAAATTTAAGAAATACACCCTTATAAATATCAATTCTGAAATACAATTTTAATTTGTTACCCATCTCTCAACTTCAGTCCATCCTATTTTTTTTTTTGGAGGTCGACTAAAATTTGTCAAATACATCCCCGTCTATGTTCCCATCTCAATACATTCACATAACATCCATTTTGAAAATAATCTTGGAAAATATTATCCAAAACAGTGAGTTGATCGTGTGCATCAATTTCATTTTTTTTATTTTTTCTATTTTCATTTTCTTCAAGTTGCCACGGGTTTAACATTTTGATTTATGAGTCAATAATCAGAATTAAATAATCCAAATAAGGATGTCAATTTAACCCGTAACCAAAACCCAAAAGTTGAGTGAGAAACAAATTCACCCATTTTTACAATGTAAAAAATTTATCAAAAGAATGAATGTCTAAACTCTTGTAAAATATTATCCGCGAGGGAGAAATAGCAAAATCCAAGGGACAAAACAAATAGTGACTAAATTCTAAGAGCTAGTCATGATTCATATAACTGGGTTTGTAAACAGATAGGATTAGGACGGGCAGGAAAAATCCAGGAGGGGGAGGGGTTGAAAGTGAATTTAGTGTAATTTTTTTGTAATTTTAAGAGGGAAAAAGTGAAAATTTTATAGGTATATAATTGAAAATAAGAAAATTTAATGATATATAATATATATATATATATCAGTGGGGGCAACCAATGTGCCTCCCGTCCCTGCGGAAGGGATCAGGTCTGAACCGGTCCGAACTGATAAGAAATATTCAATTAAGTCCGATTCAATAATCATTATTTTATGATTTAATTCAAAAAATGATTTTTTGTTAATCAAATTTCTGATCCGATGAATCAAATCCGAAAAGTATATAACCTTTTGTAAAAAAATTTAATCTCAATAGAGATTAGCAAACAATGACTAAGGAGAGACAGAGAGAAGCCGTTGAAAAATAAAATATAGTAGAAAAGTAGGTTTTTAAATGTTTATTAAAGAAAAAACAATGAAGAGAGCCAAAATTGAGAGGGAAGAAGAAGAAGAATGATAGAAAACATTTTAATAATAGGGTAAAGTATAATGACACCCTCTGAAGTTTGGCATAAGGACAGTCATATACAAGTTTAGACTTTTTTTTTACAATGACATCCCCTTGTCAAAAATTGGATCCAAACAACCTGTTAAAAATGTAAAAAGTCAAGATTGCCCTTTAATTTTTTATTGATTTAAATTGTAAAATACCAAAACTCCTTTATTACACTTTTACCCCTATAATACATTCATTACACCTTACCACACTCTCTAATATAAATAGATATATTATACGTATTTATATATTATACGTGTATGGTAAACCCCAAACACCATACCACAACGGAAAAAGAACCACCACCACCACTACAAAACAACAACCACTACCACCACCACCAAACCCACAGCCTCTGAAACCCTAACCCTAACAAACCCACCACCAAATCCATTACTATCGTTGCCACCATCACCACCAAGAAATCCATTGCCGTTGACCCCTCAAACCTGGCTACTGCATCAACGTTGTTATCGAAGATGAAAGGCTCATCTCTGTGATGACCACGCAATTCTCCAGATCTTTCTCGAGTTTGGGCGCAAAGGTGGTTGGATTGATTGATGGAGGCAAAAACAGATTTAATGGCAAGGAATCGTGTTATAAAGACGTCAAGAAAAGGCCTTAGGGTCGTTACACAGTTGAAAATAGAGATCTCAGCAAAAAAAAATCGGCGACTGGACGGGCACCTTCGACATCGCCGAAGAGGTGGCGCGTGTTTGCGACTCCCCAGCCCTTTCGAATTTATCGTCTCTGCCGATAACAAATTTACCGTTGCCCCAACCACAGGTCTGCATCCATCAACAGAAGCACACAGAGCCCTAGCCAAAGCAGCACCGTCGAGTCCTCAGATTTTGCACCGTCGCTGATCTTCCTCCATCGTCACTTGACCTCAACTTGGCGCATAGGGATGGCAATTTTTACTGCATATTCCACCCCTTTAATAATGGATATGGGAACAATATTTATACCGTTGGGACGGGCATAGATGCAAAATTCTGACTCGTCGCGGGTCATGGGGCAAGGATGGATTCTGATAAATACCCAGCCCGCCTCGGCTTATATGCAATCCTTTTTTATAATATATATATATACCCATATTAGTATTACTTACAACCCTAAAGTGATAAACACCCTTATACTTGCTATATCGTTCTCTCATCTGAGTAGTCAAGACTAAACAAAACTTATCTCTCTAACCTCTCATGTTCTCCATAACCAAACTCCCTTACAACTAAATCTTTTTTGGTAAGTGATTTAATTTTGTAACCAAATATAGAATACGTCGACTTCAAGTTTACAATCCTTATTTTTCCATCTCCTCGTTCCCCCTTTCTGTGTAAACGATCTGCAATCCACCACCACCGCTGGAGGTCGACGGTAGAGCTAAAATCTGGAATGGTTAAAGGGTTTGTTTATCATGGCTTGGGTTTCTGGTTTGGTTACGCCTTATGTGGCTTTCTATTGGTTTTCTCTTTGCTGTCTTTGGCTGTGTTTTTTTTTTTTTTTTTTTGTCATGGTTATGGATTTTTATTTATTTATTTATTATTAGAAATGGCCCTTCTGTGTTTATATTATGTTTTCTCCTTGTTGTTTGTGTTTTAACATATACAAGTGAAAATTCATTCACTGCAAGCTTTATCCTTCTTCCAATTTGGGTAAGTGTAATACCCCTATATTTTTGAGGAATTATTAAATTAAATTAATTGCTTTTAATTAAATTTAATTGATTTATATATTTTAAATTAATTTATTTATCTCCTTAGTTATTTATTTGTTTATTTGATTTAGTAGTATAATGATTGTGTGTGTATGTGTTTGATTGTTAGTTGGTTCATTGGCGCGTTGACTTTGTTTGTATGGAATGACTTGGTTGTTATGATTATGTTTGTGTATGTGCTACATGTATTTAGTTGTTTAATTATTTTATTTATTTATTTATTTAAGTTTAATGGACTGTGTTTTGAATGTTTGAACCATAAGATTTGGTCTTGGGTTATAAAAGGAGGCTTTAAAGGATTTGGGATGATTTAAGGCCATGGATGTATGATTGATGATTACTGAAAAGTGCAAATTTAAACACCTTTAGCTTAGGTATTCTAGGATCTTTATCTATCTTATTTTTCCGTCTTAGATTAATTTCATGTTATTGTCCTTTTTAGGTGCTTATCCCAAAAACAAGCTAATTCAGTTAAATAAGAACATTAAAGAAGCAATTTTGAGTTAAATGGAAGAAAGGAGTAAAGTGGAAGCAATTGGAAGAAAAATGAAGCAAAGTGTGGAAAGTCAGTAAGTTCGATCGATCTCAACATTCCTTCAATTGGTCATGAAGTGATCGATCTAGGCTTCATCAAGATAGATCCAAGCTTTTGTCCTTATCCAAAGATCTCACCATCTTCGATCGATCGAAAAAATTCGATCTTATTCACACTTACCACCCCACCTACCACTCTTGTCTTTTTTCCAAAAATATCCAAAAATATCTCAGAGATTTGTCTTTATTCAAAAAGGCGCCGCCAAAGATAATCGATCTCTGCAGCATTCGATGGATTTAACCTAAGTTCGATCGATCTCACCTCAGTTCGATCGATTGAACCTCCTCAAGTCCGAATTAAATCAAATTCCAAGTCATTAAAAGTTGTCTCATGATGCAATCATTGGAGGAGCCCTTGTGCACGAATCCAAACCATTGGGTGTGACACTTGAGCCTCCTATATAAAGATTTGAGCTACTTTTTACACATAGCTTTTTACACATATGCTCACATAGGTTTAGATACATTCTTAAAGAGGAAGAAAAGAGAGGAGGAGAAGCTAGAGACACACTCTTAGGAGTTCTTCCATTTTCATCAAGAAGGAGGTCATTCCTACCTAGGAAATAGCCCTTGAGGGTTGGATGACTACTTCAATGAGTGGCTAAACATCTTCTTGGGGCTAGAGTTGGCCCTAAGCATGCCTTCTAGACACTAATGCTTTGTATTTTGAAGGGATT